CTTCGGCGACAGGTTGCAGTGCAACGACGACCGCGTCTTCCACGTCAGCGTCGGCAGTCCCCCCAGTTCAGGTTGGTCACCGCGCGCGCCATGAGGCTGTGGGCGCTCCTGAGCAGGCTGCCTGTTCGCATGCCCCACCTGTGCTGCCCACCATCCCCTCTTCGTCGCAGCTCAAGCGAATGGTTTTCGAGACGGCCAACTCGTCGTCTTGGGGCTCCCTCAAAACGTGCCGGGAGGACGAGGCCCTGGGCTCCATCGTTTTCTTCTAGGATTTCTGCTTCGGGGGGCCGTCGTGCGGGGGGGTCAACTAACTTAAGAACATTGGGTGGAGGGCCATCGTTAGACCCCGCGTTGCCGCGCCAGGAGGTTGGAGTAGCGGCGCTGGCATCGCAATCCGCCAACGCATCCCGATTGGCGCCCCGCTTGTTCGTCCCCTCCCGCAGCCAGAAAGAATTTACTAAGCTTGGGCTAACGCGTTCGTCCCAGGAGGCTTGGCTGCTTTCTCGCTGTACCTTGACTGCGACGGCCCGCTCGGCCTTGACTCGTTCAAGATTCTTAATCTCATTGGCGAGGAGATCCATCAGCTTCAGATCCCGTCCATCATTGGAGGAAATTGGAACGCGCGCCCAGTCTCTCTTCTCAGCGCAGGTTGGGTCGACCGCTTGGGTGGCACCATCCTCCGTTCGCATCGAACGACTTGTCGCGAATCGGATAGGCAGTGGAGCACCATCGGTTAATGTGTGGTTTCGAAAGGGTTGGAGACCACCATGGGGCGCGTTGACCGCCGCGATGCCAGCGCTACTTCCCCTCACTTCGCGGTGTCCTTGGAGTTGGAGGGCAACCCCCTGGAGGCCGAAGTCAAAGTCTTGCAGGGGCCCAAGCCGTTCCCCAAGGAGCAACCATTGGGGCCTTTCCTCCTCCTCGGTCCTGGCCCCCTTGCAGCGACCTGCTGGCCAGACCCCTGGTGGCCGCGGAGGAGCTTGATCAGGCCTATCGGGAGTCCTGCAAGCTATTCGAGACAGAGCTCAAAGGCGCCCATCAGATCGACATCCAGGTTCGATCTTACTCTGGCAGGGCGTTGGGGCTCATGCTCAACGAGGTTCCCGCAGTTCGCGCGCCTGGGGAGATTATCCAGGCTCTTGTCCTGATGGAAGAAGAGCCCGGCGTAGCATTGCTACCTGTTTCCTGGAGCTGGCGTGCCTAATTAGGAAGGGCCACCCCGAGGCCGCCCCGAGATTCACGCGTCGGGCTCCAAGTCGGCCTCGTGTCCGAGCAAGCTCCGCGAGAACCCAGAGTGGGGGCGCTTGCGCTCGCATTTCCACCTCGGCTCCATAGATGTTGGCAAGCTGCGGCAGTTCCCTGCCGCGGCCGAGCGTCGGGCTGAGCTGTTTGGAATGCGCGTCCGCGCCAAGAGGGCCAAGCAGTGGCGGCCGCCAGGGCCGAGCAGTGGCGGACTTGGGCGACTGAATCGTGAGCGGGTGGAAGGGGCCCGGCACGTGGTTTAAGCCCCGTGTGCTCATCCCTGACAACCCCAAGGGTGGGCCCTAGCCCAGCCCGGATGAGCAGATGAGCAACCTGGAGGAGGAAAGTTTGGACGCCGGCCCCTCGCGTCGCCAACCTGCCCGGCCCCATCCAGTTCCCAAACCAAGTCATGTCAGGTTCTGGAGAGGAGCCTCGGGCACAGGCCTCCCCTGAGGACATCCGTGCATTCGCCGAAACTTTTGAGGCTCGCGCGGCGGTCGGCGCGGACCGCGCAAGGCCGTGCGAGTTTGTTGATGCTTCCCGACGCAGGATTGCAGTGCATGGCCGGCCTTTGGTTCCACATGGAGAAGCTAGGCCATGTCCCCACCCCCATCCGCCGCGTCCTCCTCGCTGTGATCCCTCGAGAAGATGAGGGCAAATGCCCTATCGGAGTACTCCCTGTTACTATTCGCATTTTCGGCAGGCTCGCTCGCATCGAAGCTAAGATGTGGGAGCTGGAGCATCCTCGTTCGCACCTCTTCGGCCGCAAGGGCAGATCGTGCGGGCGTGCCATGTGGGGGCAGCCGGGTCGTGCAGAACGCGTGCGCACCTGTAATCGTCAGTCGGCGCGCGCCCCAGTTGACATGTCGAAGTGCTATGAGAAGGTCCTTTACTACCTTTTGGCGTAGGCCGGGGTGAAGCGCGGCCTTTGAGCGCACCGACTTAGGTTCCTACTCGCACTATATCGAGGCATGCGCTCGCTGCAATTTGACACGCGAGTGTGCGCTGGCATGTTCGTGGAGCAAGGGATCCTCGAGGGGTGCTCGGTTTGCCGCATCGCTCCTCCTCCTTCTTCTTTTGTTTCTGATTTTTTTTTGGGGGGATGACGTGCTGGGCGAAGCGGCGCGCCTGTGTCCCATCGTCTCCCTCTACGGTGTTGTAGATGACATCGCCATCGGGGCGGTGGGTAAGCGCAAACACGTTATCCGAATGGTGCTGGGGGCTGCCAGGTTCATCTGTGTCCAGTTGGAGCTCTTGGGGTTCACCATCTCGCCCGCGAAGGGCATCGTCGCGGGCTCTTCGGCCCAGGTCGTCCAAGTCATCCGCGTGGGCCTCGTGTTGTGGGACTTCGAGGGCTTGGGGGCCACGAAGAGCCAGGAGGTGAACTTCGCTGGGGCTCCGAGGCGCTCTACTAGGGTCCAGCAGCGTAGGTGGCAGTCTCTTATCCCATGGGTCTCCAGGTTCAGAGGCCTCAAGTCAACGTTCTCGGGCATGCGCAGAGTCATCAAGACTGCTGGGGCCCCTGCAGCCTTCTGCGGAAACAGGGTCACAGGCATGGCTCCCGCCCAGCTGGCCTCGCTCAAGGCCATCAGAGGCAACGCAGCATTCGGCCCAGACAGAGGCCGTAGCCGCACAATGCAATTCCTCCCCAATCAGGACCCGAAGCTGGGCCCCACGTGCCGAGCCAATGTTCTGCCCTTAGGAATGTGGCACCAGGCGATCCAGCAGCAGTGACTCCCTAGGTCGATGCCCGGCACGTGCTGGAGGCACTGAAAGTCCTCCAACTCAGCCGTCAAGTGGTCCAACGTCCTGGGCCCTACGGGAACGGTCTTGGCCACCTTGCCACGCCTCGGTTGGAGTGGGAAGGAGTTCGACAAGTGGGACGTCAGGGGCGGGATCTCGATTGACCTATCCAATCATCGGCCGGCACACGATGGCCGCCCTGATCGAGCAAGCCACGTACCGCCGGCAGCTGCACAACGTTTCGGTGCCAACAGCTGCTGGCCAGTTCAAGCCACCTCTGCTGTGAATCATCCGCGAGGAGATCCAGTCCTTTCGAACAAAAAAAACAATAACCTCGACGCGGCCATTTTCTTGAGCGGAGTGGTTGCAGGTGGCTACCCATGTCAGTTGCAACTATTCATGGACCGCAGAGTTGTCAACCCTTCTTGGCTCCTGTGTGGCCTCGCAGTCGGGGCCCCCAAGCACAGGCTCTATGAGTGTCCTGGCTTTCACCTATTCCGTCGAAATCTGGACCTAAGAGATGTTGTTTGGGAAGGTGTGGGTAGGCCTGAGAAGGATTTACTGCATACCAGAGCCCTTACCCCAGACCCTGGGGCCGATTGGCCCACGCTGTCCTTGGCCCCGTCCAGGCACTGGGACCTGCGGACCCCGTCTGGACTTTTAGGCCCTCGGCTTCGTACAGGCGGGTCAGGGCTCGACCAAGGCAGCCCCTTCTCGTCCAGGGCTGGATGGGCTGTTGTAAGCATGCAGGAAGTAGGAGGCTCTGACGGCAATGTTTTTGGGCCTTTAACCCATCCCCTCCAACGTAGTGTGTGTGTGTGTGTGTGTGTGTGTGGAGATTTATGCCCTCCTCATGACCATCCGTGTAGCTGCCCCTGGCTTCCTTGTCATTTACTCGGACTGCCAGGCTGTCTTTGATGTTTGGACCGCGGGCCCCGACGCTGATCGCTCGCACGTTGCCTTTGCTGAGTTGTGGGATGAGGTGTGTTTCCAGGCCAGTGAGTTCGGGCTCGAGTTTATCGAGCTTAGGAAGATCAAGGCCCACCTCCCCTGGCAGACATACTCCAGGACTTCTAGTGTACCGTTCTGGGCTTGGTCTGGCCACACTCTGGCAGACAAGCTTGCGCAGCGAGGGGCCCAGGCGTATTTTTCCGACCCGCAGCTGGTGCGAAGGCGCAAAGATAATCGCGATTCCGTCCGCATGGTTTGCAAGTTCATTGGCGCCTTCGGTAAGCACCTGCCTCATTATAACTTCCCCGACGTCCAGCGAGTCAAGAAGGCCCGCCGTCCGACGTTTGATGGCCCCCAGCTCGTCCCCGACCGTCAAGGCCACGTGTTGCAACGAGTTGGTAAGGCTGGGAAGGCATTCGTCTGCACCCGCTGTGGAGGTCGTGGTCTGTCGGAGCGTGCTGTGTGTGCTGTGCCATGCACGGGCCTCCCCAGGCTGGCCCGCCAGGCCCATAAGTCGCATCGGCTCTGGCTCATGGGCTCCTGCCTGGCGTGGTGCTCTAGATGTGCTGCCTTTGGGACTGCTAGGCTCCACTTGCTCGGTGGCCCCTGCCACGGGAACCCCCGCAACAAGGACGGAGAGAAGGCCCTTAGACAGCTCAAGGAGGGGAAGGATCCGTCCACCAGCCGCGTGGTGGGCCGATCCTTCCGCCTCACCATCTCCAAATCTTCTACTTTTTTAAACCTGAGCGTCGTGTTTCATCTGGAGGCGGACGTTTCGCAGCTTGACGGAGCTTGAAGGAGGAGGAGGAGGAGGAGGAGGAGGAGGAGGAGGAGGAGGATGAGGAGGGGGAGAAGGCTCCTTGATGCCTCCGACAAGAGCCCAAATCGAGGATCCTCGAGCCCTCGCGGCCCTTGCGTGCGTGCGCGTGGCGCAGGCCTTGGCAGTATCCCCCGCCCCAGTTGCGCAGCGCTCAACCCTTGCGCCGCCGCCGCAGCCACCGTCGTCATCGTCGTCGTCGTCGTTGGCGGCGGCGGCGGCCGCCGGTCAAAGGCGCCCGCGCGCGGCGGTCCTGGCCGGGCCTGGCCGCCGCCTGCGAGGCGGCGGGCGCCGGCCTGCCGAGGTGCCGCAGGAAGTCCGCGAGCGCCAGGCGCGCCCTGCCCTCGCCGAGCTGCTCGAAGGCCCGCTGGACCTTCGGAGGCTTCTGCAAGCTGTGGGCGGCGGCGCCGCCGCCGGCGACTCCGACGGCGATGCCGACGTCGCCGACGACGATGCCGACGGCACTGGCGACGGCGCTGGCGATGACGGCGACGACAACGTCGCTGTCGCCGCAGCCGCCGCGGTCGACGCCGCCATCGCCGCCGACGTCGCCAGCGCCCTGGCCTAGCCAGGCTCCTCGGAGGCCGGCTGAGCCTCGAGCGCCTGCACTGTCCTCGATCTCTCCTCTCCAATTCCAGCTGGGACGGTCAAGCTGGGAGATTCAAAGCACGTCGGTGCGTCGTTTTGACCACAACAGTCAAGGCGATGAGGTAAGGACCACCTTGGGCTCCAGAGGGGCTCTGGTTTTCGGGTCGTTCCGTCAACCTTCGCCGTGACCCAAACAACCCCTTCGTTCCTCAGTATGCTTTCCTTCTGATAGCACGCTGATCGGGGTGACGATTCGTCCCATGAGGGGGCGGGTCTCTTCTGAGCCGGACTGGCTCCTGACGATTTGCATGCACAAGGGTACAGGGTACGGGAGCACTGCCCCAGCACACGTGCAAGAAGAGCCTACTCCCCTCGCTCCTGCTTCCTCTCGGTCCTCGATCCTCGAGCGCCTCGTCCTCCAGCCTCCGCTCGATGCCCGATGCCCGAGCGCCTCCTCGACCCTCGATCGCCTCATCCTCGATCAGCCCGGACTATGTGTGTTCTTCTCCACGCCGCGTCGGGTGCGCGTGCTCGCTTGACCTGTTCTACGCTGCGCTGCCGTGCAAGTGGCTGCGACGCCAATGTCAATTGATCAATCCATCTATCTATCTATCTATTTATCTATCTAGCTATCTATCTATCAATATCAGAGTGAGGGGCTGAACCGAACGGTCATGCACTGTCCCTGGGTGCGTGGCTGAAGTGGAATTCCGCGATGCGGATTATTGTTCTTGTTGTTGCTGTTGTTGCTGTTGCTGTTGCTGTTGCTGTTACTGTTGTTGTTGTTGTTGTTGAACATTATTTATTCTAAAAAATAATTATTGTTGGGCCCCCTGGTGCGCGCCCCCCCTGCGCCGCCTAGGCCGCAGCTACATTTTCATCATTTTCGTGAGGAAGCCTCAGGTAAAACGATGTGATCCAGATCCGGTTGTTTTGTTGTAATCCGTTTTCCCTTGCAAAAAACACTATAAAATGACATTTCTTGTTCTAATATAATCAAATTTCAAGAATCCCTTGCAAAAAATAAGGTAAAGTGGACATTCGCGCGCGCAAGACGAAATCCTTCCAAAAGCTTAGTGTTCGGAGCGATTTTAACATAAAAACATCAAAAAACCAATGGTTTTTCAACAAACAAATGTCAAAATCTCATCCCGCGCGCTCTTGCGGATTCGTAGGAAACCCAACACTTTTTAAACATTTCTGTCAAACGGGCTTTTGCGAGCAACTTTTTCGAACTTCTGCGACAACGGTTGCGCACCTGCCAGGGCCATCATCCCTGTCAAATAATACCATGCGGGACACATTCGTTTTTTCTTCGCGCGCGCACGCCGAAATCTCCAAAAACCATTGGGCTTCTTAAGAATTTTAGCACCGCGCATCATAAAATCACACGAATCGCACCGTAGGTCCTCGAAAAACACCTGCACGACTTTTCAAAATTTCCACCCGCGCGCGCTGTCCGAATCCTAAAAAAACCAATGGTTTTCCAACATTTATGTTACATGAGCTCGCGCGAGCTACTTTCGCACGCTCTTGCAACGGGGTTCGCGCGCCTGCCAGGGGCCAGAATCCCTTGCGGTTGCGCCATAGGTTGCGCCCTCGGCCGCCGAGAATAAAACGCCCCCCTATTGGTTGCGCCATAGGTTGCGCCCTCGGCCGCCGAGAATAAAACGTCCCCCTACTGGTTGCGCCATAGGTTGCCCCAGGAGGCCTTCAAGAGGCCCCAAGAGCCCGCCGTGAGGACCCAATAAGCCCCCAAGAGGCCCCAAGATGCTTCCAAGAAGCCCCCCAAAGCCCCTCAAGAGGACCCCAAGCGGCGCCAGGAGGCTTCCCCCCTTCCCCAAGAGGACCCCAAGCGGCCCCAGGAAGCCTCCGACTGATCACTGTCACATCCGTAGCCATCTCGGATCAAGGTATCGCCTGTGTTCTTGGATGGGTCATGGCTTTGTCGGCGAAAGCCCTTGACGACCAGTATGGCCCAGAGCTGTCGCGGCCTCCCTTGGCCGACTGCGAGAGCCCGTATTATTTGCATCAGGCGCTCGTTGCAAAGGGTATCCAGGTCAGTCACCAGGCGTGCAAGACTTGGTGGGGCAAATATCGGGTTGTGCCTGGCAAGGTTAGTATTTCTAGCGCCCAGGAGCTGGAGGAGCAGCACGGTTCTGCCATCCGCCACCTGGGCATCGAGTATAATACACCTTTCAAATTATGCGGGGCGCTCCGACAGTTGGATCCACCACTGTATGTGACAGATCAGGTCGCAAAGATGTGGCTACTGCAGTATTCTTCCAAAGAGACGCTTGTCAAAGTGCAGAACGCTGGCCATCTGGAGACCTGGTATGGAGAACGTATTCGCAAAGACATGCCCGAGGGGACTACTGACGGGGCCGTGTTGAAGCAGTGGCTCCTGGGACATTTATCTGTATCTGCTGACGCCAGGGTATGCCAGAAGTGGCTCAGCACGGAGTGGGGCGCCAAGGGAGCATTGAATACTGCCCAAGCTGTGGAGGAATGTATAGGCCAGCGTCTTCGACTCAATCAGTATCGGGAGAGCTTCGCCGATGAGGCCGCCGCGGAGGTCCTCTCGCAGCTTCTCTCGGAGAGCGACCCTCCCGTCGCTGTCAGCGGTATGGTTTTGAGGCAATGGTACGTGAAGTATCACCCTGACTCTGGACCTTTGCAGTATGACACGGCTGAAAAGCTCGACGCGGCACTTGGTGACCACATGCGCGCGGTATATCCAGGGCTGAAGTACCACACCTTGCATGCCGTGTTGCGTATGCGACGGAAAGCTGTCTTGGTGTCCCGAGGAGTGTTGAGACAGTGGTGCGATGCGTATGCGTCGGTGAGCTCTTCAGTGCAGGCGACGGCTTCATCCGCCCAGGCCGTCACCAGGCGTGTATTGAAGCGCCCGGCGGCGCAGGTCGCAGGCGGGGTATTGAAACGGCCAGCCGCCGCCGGATCTGCCCGCGTGGCCAAACGGCCTGCCGCGGTCGACTGGGAGGAGCCCGTATCGAAGCAGCAGGCCACGGCAGCTTCTTCCTCCACAGAAGTGGTTTGCATAAAGCTGCTCACGGGGGATGCTGTAGAGCATGCGGCAAGCGGTATCGAGAGCAGGTCTCCGACTTGGGCCTTGGCCTCACTTACCAGAATATGCAGGTGCGTCTGAAGGCCTGGGGGTATGAGGCGGGTCCATATGCCTTGCGAGAGTGGCTTTGCAAGTATCGACTCGGAGACGGTGCCAAACATGGCAAGTGCGCCGTCTACGCGTTGTCGCGCAGGGACCTCCAGTACTGGCATCACGTAGAAGGCTTGAGGGGGCGAGCGCTGGTGGACAAGTATCGCGCGGAGACCGGGGTATTTGCACATTGGGTCGCCCTGGAGAGGTGGCTGAAGGCGCCCTCCCAGCAGCTGGCAATACTGGAGAATGCCGAGGAGATACACAGCCACGTATGCGGGGAGTATGTCCTGGAGCAGCTGCAGAAGGGTGTCTCGGCCGAGGAGGTGAAAAAGGAGTTATTGGCGCAGTATCTCGTGGATTGCAGGACCACGCAGCGGCTCGTAGCGTATCGTCGCTATCGCGAGCAACGTGGCGAATACTGGACCAGCGAGCACCTAGAGCAACAGGAGTGGGAGTTCTTGTATTCCTTGGTTTCTCTGGATAGCAAGCTCGGCCACAACCGGGCGGTTGGCTGTCGCGCCCGGGCTAGACCTGGTTTGGAGGCTGTGCGTGTATCTTTATGTCAGCGCTTGGGCGTGGCGGAAGAGTTGGTGCCTTTGCACAATCTATCGGTATTTTTTGGTGGCCACGAACGGCATGCCAAGTTGGCGCTCGCGTATCCAGATGCCTTCGTATACAAGGACGCGCTGCCAGGTCCTGTGGTGGAGGCCTACGAGAGGACCTTTTTGGGCCAGGTGCTGCCGAGGACTGCACACGCGTGTATCTCCGACCAAGAGCAAGGCTGGTATGCGAGAGCTTGCAGCGTGGCGACAGCTGACGGTTGCATAGTATTCCCGAAAATGGCGGCGGACGCTTGTCTTATTGCTGCGTATGCCATGTTAAAGTGCCAGGAGGTATTTCAGCGACAGTCTTGGTCCATGTCATTACTCACCAGTATCCAAGCCACCTACAAGAAGCAGTATAATCTGACAGATTTTGCGTTTTGGGTGTGCTACGGGAGTTGGTCCGCTTGCGAGGCCTGCGGTTCGTTCTTCTTCAATGACGAGTATTTCTCGAACCGTGTATATCAGGATCGTAGCACGTCGGAACAACCAGACATGTTGGCGGCGTATCGTCGGCAAGTACCGCAGGACCCGGTGGTGCACGCCTGTGGCCAAGTTGGTATATCTTCGAGATGGTGGTATAAGCCAGGCATGTACACGCCTGTGGTTGCCAGCTGCCCTTGCTGTTCTGGTAAAGAGACTCCTCTCGAGAAGTTCAACCGCCGTATGCAGAACCATGGGCAGGCCCTCAAGGTTGCAAAGACGTCGGAGCTGTATAGGACCCCCTTGGCGACGAAGTCGGGCTACGAGGCAAAGGAGTGCATCACCTGGCCTCGATATTCGTTTCGGCAGTTTTCGCTGGACCACAGCACTGGGCCCTGTATGCACGAGATGACCCTCGACGAATGTCGTGCTCTGAGCATCGTCGTCTTGAGGACCTCCGTGCAGCAAGAGAGGTATGGCGCTGCGCACCAGTTCAACTGGAAGAAGGTGGGTCTCTCGCGCGCGTACTTCAAGAAGGACCTGGTCTGCGAAGCGAGTATGCCTACCGATCGGTGCAAGGCTGCATTTCATTTCTTGATGGAGCACAGCAAGTATTACCGCAGCTTTCTGACGGAGCAGAGGATCCGCGCGAGCAGGGGCGCCGCGGTCGCCCCCAACCCACCCCTCCCCAAAGAAAAAACCCACCCTCCCTCAACCCACCCCTCCCCCAACCCACCTCTCCCCAAACTCACCCCGGTCGCCCCGAACCCGCCCTCCCCCAACCCATCCCCCCAAAAAAAAACACGCCGGCAACAAAAACCACATCAACACAAACGCTATTCATTTTCTGGGGGCGCATGACAGGTATTACAGTAGCTTTTTGACTCCCACAGGATCCGCATCGAGAACCGCAGCTCCTTAAATCTTTCCTCCTACGACCTCTTTGTTGTCATGAAAGGTATCGAGTGTGCCATGTATCCCGTCTTGTATCCGACTACGGACTTCACTGATACGGGTATTATGGAGCACTACTATGCCCAGACCCAAGATAGCACGAATCGGGTGGTATCCATCGGCCTGTCCTGGACTCGGAAGGTGCTGTCCAGTGCCCGTGTATATGGCGAGCAGCGGGATCTGCCGTTTTTCCTGTACGAGAAGCATCCGGCGAATAAGTATTTCAATGCGCAAGTTCGTGCCAAGAGCCTCGGCGTCACGGGGGGCGTTATGACACGAGATTCGCAGGCCTCTACGGGGTATTGGGAGATTGTGCAAGACTCCCTCGCTGATCTGGTGCGTATCATGCTCGTGCGCTGCAACGACGAGAAGAATTATGAGGCCCTGTATCAGCACTGCCGCACTCTCCGGGGACAGGTATGGCTGTGCGCGTTTCCGAATTTGTTTATCACCATCGCGCCCGCGGAGTGGAAGTTCCCGAGGCCGTATTTCATGGAGCCGTATCTTCGCTGTATTTTTGCTGGTGCCTATATGATGTCACTCCATATGTACTTCCTGGTTCGCTGTATCTGGTTGTTCTTGGCGAACCGCTGGGGCCACAGGTTCGTTTCTTGTATAACACAATTCCAGGAATTGTTTTGCGAGTTTCTCTCATGTCATATGTATCATGTACCCCATATATCACATATAACAACTGGATGTGTTCCACAAACTGCCCCAAAAATGTGACCAACTCTTCTTCGAGTTTGTCTCATGAGTATCAGACGCATCGTGTATCATATGTATCATGTCACTACAGTGTGCTTACATAAAGAACAGTGTCCAGGTACTTCATCGTTTACGAGTGGTGTATGAAGACCGAGTACCAGGGCCGTGGCACCCCGCACTGGCACATTTGCGCGTGGGTTGTATGCTTTGGGCTGTTGCAGAATCTCCAAGGGCGCACTGGTACGGCTGTCGTGTCGGCATTCGTCAAGTTCCTCTCGCTGGTATTCTGCGCCGAGATAGATGTTCAGATAGGCAACGGCCGTTTGAACTACATCTCCGGGTATGTGGCGAAGGACCATGATGCCGTCGACGTGGGGCTCGGCGAGTATGTGCAGAAGAATGCAAACAGCTCCTGGCTGACCGCGTATCGCTTGCTCAGCAAGAGCAGCCCGTGCTTGCCGGAAGTGGCGATCCGTATGGCGCAACTGTCGGAATTTGAGCGGTCCTACTCCCATGTTTTGCTGTATCCACCGCAGCCTGCAGCCATGCTGAATTATGACGGGCGGCAAGGAAACTTTTCCTCGAGGATGTATGGTTTCTATCTTCAGGAGAAGAGGGAGCAGCTGGTCGCAGGGACTCCCGTATCGGAGAGTTTCTTGGTATGGCACCGTGGCAGGGAGTATGACACCTCGAACCACTGCGTACAGTTCCGTGGCGGCAGACATCAGCAAAGGTATGCGTCCACGCAAGTGGTCGCCTGCAGGTACTGGTACGAGCTGACCGACGGTTATTGGGGCCAGCATTCACTGACTGTGCTGCCACATGTATACGCTGCACAATTACTCCCTCGGACGTTCAAACACCTGGACAGTATGAAGAACTTCGTGGGCATGATCGAGTATCTCATGTCCTGGCAGTGGTCCGACACTGCTGGTATCGTGGAGACGTCGTGTGAATTGAAATTCCATAATCATGCGCTGCCGATGCGAGTGGGTGAGGACGGCCAGATACTGTCATTCGGCTCGGAGTATACTGCTGGAGTGTCTGTATTTGCCAATGATAGGGCAGCATTCGAGTACCTGCTCTCGCTGGCCCGACGCGATCTGCAATTTCGAGGTATGCGCGATGAGCGTGTCGGCTGCTTCGAGCAGAAGCAACACGCGAATTTTCTGCTGTATATGCGTGTTGCTCAATGCGATAACGAGCCAGAGTACGAGTGCCTCCGGCAGGCGTGGGATGTCTTGAATAGGCCGAAGTATCAGCAGCGCACCTGGAGTCCCGAGCAGGCTGACGCCATCGAACGGGTCAAGAAGGGTGTATCGCTGGAGGACGAGGAGGAGAAGCAGAACAGTAAGCGTTTCTTGTATATCAGTGGACCACCAGGCAGTGGGAAGACGGCAGTATTGCTGGAGCTGGCCATTTGGGCATGTGAGTCTGCTCAGGTTTTGATCGTGTGTCCCACCGGGTATCTCGTGCACCAGTACAAGTCCAAGCTGCCAGACAGACCTGGTATTGAGAACATCCGAGTGGATACCATACAAGGAGTCCTGAAGTATAAGAGGGCCGGGAAGGACGGGAAGGTCCGCTGGGCCCCACCCTCGGCTTTGAGAGGTATTGACTTGATTCTTTGCGATGAAGGCAGCCAGTATGAAGATCAGGAATGGATGCGTTTTTTCGCCGCGGTGCGGGAGCAGCCGCATAAACCCTTCACTGGTATCGTGGCCGATTTTAAGCAGTTGCAGCCAGTATTGAGCGGGGGGCAATGCGAGCACTTCTGCAACCAAATGGACAAGGTTGACTTGAAGACAGTGTATCGCACCGCAGACCAGCAGCACCTGGTTTTCCTGAACCGTATACGCGAGGCTCAGCCAGATCGAGTGTGTTTGACAGAGTATTTTGGCGACCGGCACTGGCAGCATGAGTCCTTGGAGGCTTGTGTTGAGCGCGGTATGGCGTTGGCGGCGGAGAAAGGACATCCGTTTTCTTGGCTGACGTGTACGAACGCAGGCTCGGCAGAGGTATGCAGAGCGGCTCTGGCATTACTCGGCATTAGTGAGGCCGATCTGCAAAAGGGTGGGTATTCCGATCCCACCACGAAGTCCAACTTACGCATTTTGGCCAGACCTGGTATCGTGATTCGCCTCAGTCGGAACTTTGACAAACAGCGAGGCTTTGTCAATGGGGCGTTGGCCACGGTATGCGAGTCGCTTCGTGGAAACTCTGTGTTTACAGCCAGGCTGGTGGGCACGGGCAACATGGTATTGGTGCACCCCATCGAGGAGAATGGGGAGATCTTCCTGCCCTGCTGCTACGGGTATGCGACCACGGTGCGTCGAGCGCAGGGTGCGGATCTCTTTCACGGCTGTATTTACTTCGAGCAGAAGAAGAGAGTGGCCACGAGAGGGTATGGCTACGTTGCCTGCAGTCGCTTTAAGTCCCGCGAGGGCTGCTATGTATTCGGCAAGCTCCGCCGCAGTGACTTCCTCCCGGCTGGCCCTGAGAAGGCCGGCGAGATTCTGGAGCGTGGCTATGACTCGGTATCGTCATCTGACGACGAGGAGAAAGGCTTGGAGTATGCCTGTGCAGATCAAGGGGAGTATGACGCGGACCCTGTTCTGTCCATGGATATGGGCAACAATCTCTTGGACTTCCTCGTGAGCACAGAGGATACGGCAGATGTATCCAAGACCGAGTGCCAACGTATCCTGGCAGAGTTTGCTGCAGGTGCCAGTGCGGGGGCTGCCGATGCGCCAGTGTATGAAGAGCTTCCAGTGAGGGAGGAAGTGTGGGGCGAGAACGGTGAGCTGCTCGTATACGGCGGCACGGCAACGCCGGAATGATCTGTGACGTATGGTGGCGGACGTTGAAAATAAACGTACACGCGCGCATGTGTGTATCATCGTCTCCGGTCCGCTTCTACGTTGGAGTCCAAGTGTCTGCCTTCATTGGAAAAAAATGTCCTCCAAGAGGGCCCCAAGAGCGCCCCCAAGGCTCCCAAGAGCGCCCCAAGAGGGTCTGAAGAGGCCCCCAGGAGGTCCCAAGAGGCGCCCAACAGGCGCCCAAGAGGCGGCCAAGAGATCCCCAAGAAGCTCCAAGGGGCTCCCCGGGGCACCCAGGATGCCCCACGAGGCCCCCGGGTCACGCGAGGAGGGCCCCAAGACGACCCAAGAGGCTTCTACTTGCCCAAGATTCATCCGAGTAGACTCCGAGAGGCATTCAAGAGGCCTCTGGCTCTTCTGATACCTACTCCTCATCCTTCTTCTCCCTCCTTCCCCTCTCATCTCATCATCACCATCATCACCATCACCATCACCATCGCCACCATCAGGAAACCTCCACCATCACCAACACCACCATCACCATCATCATCACCATCATCACCATCACCACCAATCATCACCATCACGACACAACAACAACAACGATGTCTCTGTGTGTTGTTCATAGGCACTTTGGCTCAAGAGGGGGTTATTCTTGGCCGCGTCTTGCCTTGGCATGGACTCCGCAGGGTATTTTTTCTTGCTCTCCTTTGTATTACTGCGTTTCACCAGAGGTCAGGCAGGAGTACCTGTCGTATGTGACTACCTTTTGGATCAGTGGAGTGTATTCGTTGAGAACTTCGATTCATTTTGTTGTGGACTCGTGCGGCACTGCGAGGCAGTATGCAAAGAGAGGGGATGCTCGTATTTGGCCCATCGGGAAGGTTTGCACGTGGCGTATTCTGGTTTGAACTTCATTCGCTCTCTTCGCAGGGCTCGTATACGACGGCGCCTTGTTGCATTTGCGGAGAAGTGGGCGCACGTAGTATCGGGGCTTCAGCGTCCCCGTGTGGTGGGCGTCTCGGTCGCGAGCGCTGACATCATGGCCATCGGGGACAGTATCCCGGACTATGTGGCCGTGGCTGTTCAGAAGAACCAGGTGAAGATGGCAGGTAAGTATAACAGCATGGACTGTATGCGGTGTTTTATGCACATGCTTGAGTTTTGCATGGGCTGCGCGCCCACGGAGTATACCGAGGAGCTGCATCAGTGGTTTCTGAAGCGGCAGTGTCGGAAGTATGGACGCAATGCTGCGGCGGAGCTCGCGTATTTTGGCGTGGTGTCCTGCGACAGTATGACCACAGCATTGGGTCGTATGAGGAAGGCTCTAAACACCACGTCTCAAGTGAGTGCCGCGACCATGTATGTATTGTTCTGCGAGACGCGGCAGGCTATCAATAGGTATTCGCTGCATGGTCTTTGGTATCTCATTGAGCAGCATGACAAGAGGAAGTCTGTGCGGGCAAATGTTTCGCGTGTCCGACATGGGCTCGCATACAGTGTATCCACGCTTCCTTACACAATTCAGGTTTTGGAGGAGATCCGCAGCTGTGTGGGTGTATCACTCGCTGTGCTGCGGAAGTTACCCTCCAAACGCGCTGGCGGACCTTGGGAGGTGGCGTTTCAGATGGGTCGCCGCCGTTTGTGTCCCAAGGTTGAATTGGATGGCATTCCAGAGTTCCGTGTGCTCGCGAGTTGTCTGAGCGTTGTGACTCAGAAGGTCCAGCACAATCAGCAGTATCGCGGCTTGGTCAAGGCCGCGAAGGGTCTGGGTATCAAGTACGCGAAGTCGTATACTAAGAAGAAGCTCGCGGTGCTGGTGCAGCGCGGTATGCAGAAGCCTGCAGGCACGGGGGCGCGGAAGAGGAGTTACGAGGAGCTGGTATCCGCAGTGCACGCTCGCGGCGGCTCTGAGTATGAAAGAATGAAAATGCAGGGAAGGTGGATCACCAGACGATTATCCAAAGTCAAGTTGGAGGCGTTGCTGGCTGAACCCCGAGGGCGGTGTTCATTTGTATAGTTGCATGTTGTCTGACACAGTGGTCGACCAGAAAAGTATGAAAGAAGAGCATATAGCAGCAATGACATTCACATATACATACATACACACATGTAAACATACTAGTTCGACGCGCATAGCCATTCTTTACACATAGACCTTACCTACACAGTCACATGCACATACACATGCGTACGTCGAGACATGCACTCAGAGTTACATACGTCGTATGAATGACATATAACATTTTTACATAGATACACAATGCAGAAATACATACAGACATACATGCATGCATAGAAAGAGTATTTTCACGTACCTGTTCCAAAAAATGTGACTTGTTGAGCACACGGTGGCTCCCTACGCGTGTATCTCCGACAAAGAGCAAGGCTGGTATGTATCATATATACCGACATGTTGCGTCTCCAAACTGGCCCAAAAATGGGGGCTGTTGGGGTCATCTTGGGGTGGAGGACTAGAAGGGTCTGTTCGAGTTCACTCTCTTGAGGCCATCTTGGGGGCCTCTCGGGGTCGTCTTGGGGGGCCTCCAGGGCTATACTGGGGTCCTCTTGGGCCGTCTTTGCTCCTCTTTTTTGGGCCTCTTGGAACGTCTTCGGCGCTTCTAAGACGGAAAAGGCGATAATGTTAAAATGCTATGTGTTGACTTTGTCTCATGTGTATCATACGTCTCCCATTGCAGCCATATAATCTCACAGCTGGCGCGGCAGTACCAGTCTTCCCACTCGGAAGTATATTCCCTGCGGTTTCGATCCAATCGGTCGCAATGAGCCTCGACAGTGGTATGGCCACTGACTTCGCGATGTTGGTTCCAGGGACGCAACCGGGCGCCCCGGCCTCAGCGGAGAAGGCGAAGGACCAGAAGAAGCGGGAGTGGCTGAAGGTATTCGAGACGTTGCCGTCGCAGTTGCTCAACGTATACGGGCCTTCCAAGTTCGCGAAGTTATCGGACAAGCAGGTATGGAACGAGATGCAGGAGCCGCTGAAGAGTGGGGCCGTATGGATGTCGGAGATGTGCAGCAAGGAGCCGGAGCGGAGGGGTGTCGGTATTAACCGTTTCATTCACGCGATGAAGACCTTCTGCGAGTATCAAAACGATCCCTCGGTACAGGCGGCGAACAAGGCGGTATTGAATCCGACGATGTATGAGGAGTTCTACAAAGAGATTGAGGAGATCCTGCCGTCCTTGCAGTATTGCCTGGCACCCAAGAAGCAGTATGAGAAAAGGGGTGCTGCCGCTCTGCGTGCGAGCGGTATGGACGAAGCAGTGCTGCCGGACACGAAGACTGAGCCGGCATTGGACCAGCATGCGAAGAAAGTGTATGAGTGGCTCGACAAGGGTAAACTTTCGCGAGTGCGTATGATGGCCCATTGGCAAAGCTGTGGGGGGTTGGCATTCGTGGCTCAGTGTCACCACAGGGCCGCCACCTGTTTCAGGTATCACGGGAACAGTTTTCACGGAGCTGGTCCAGAGCAGCAGGAGGTATCACTTCAAGAGTTCCAGGCTGCTGTGAAGGTCCGTCATGCGTTGGGCCACAACGGTATTGACGTGGAGGCGGTGGGCTCACAGGGCTCCGCCGTCAACGATTTCGGCACTGCCTGATGGCACGGTATATGAGCAATTTTCCAGAGTCGTGCGTGCACACTGGGGAGGCAGGGGCTGCATGCATTTAGACCAGGGTATTGCTTCTCTGCATCTCGGGAGTGTATATATGAAGTGCGCGGGAGTGGCAAAACAAAATGTCCCAAATAATGAGACCACCTGGTCTGTGGGTGTATGTGCCCCACAAACTTGTTAGTGTGTTTCAGTTGTCCTATAATGTTTTTCTCTCATGCTTATCATATGTGTCATGTGCAATATGTATCATATATAACAAATGCATGTGTCCGAAATTTGCCCCCAAAATGTGATCAATTGTTGTGTGTCTTTGTCTCATGTCTATCACATCATGTGCAATCTGTATCATATATAAGAAGTGCATGTGTCCGAAATTTGCCCCACAAATGTGACCAACTGTTGTGTGTCTTTGTTTCATGTCTATCATATGTGCCATGTGCAATATGTATCATATATAGCAAGTGCATGTGGACGAAATTTGCCCCAACAATGTGACCAACTGTTGTGTGTCTTTGTCTGAGGTCTAGCATATGTATCATGTGCAATATGTATCATATATACCAAATGCATGTGTCTGAATTTTGCCCGAAAAATGTGACCAACTGTTGTGTGTCTTTGTCTCATGTCTATCATATGTATCATGTCAATATGACTCATATATGACAAATGCATGTGTCTGAAATTTGCCACAAAAATGTGACCAACAGTTGTGTGCTTTTGTCTCATGTCTATCATATCATGTGCAATATGTATCATATATAACAAATGCATGTCCCCGAAATTTGCCCCAACAATGTGACCAACTGTTTTGTCTCTTTGTCTCATGTCTAATATATTCATGTGCAAAATGTATCATACATAACAAATGCATGAGGCCGAAATGTGCTCCAAAAGTGTGACCAACTGTTGTGCGTCTTTGTCTCATGTCTATCATATGTATCATGTCAATATGTATCATGTACGACAAATGCATGATTCTGAAATTTGCACCAAAAATGTGATCAACTGTTGTGTGTATAGCAAATGCATGGTGTTGCCTCAAAAATGTGACCAACAGTTGTGTGTCTTTGTCTCATGTCTATCATATCATGTGCAATATGTATTATGTATAACAAATGCATGTCCCCGAAATTGGCCCCACAAATGTGACCAACTGTTGTGTGTCTTTGTCTCATGTCTAATCTATTCATGTGCCATATGTATCACAATAAGGAATGTATGAGGCCGAAATTTGCCCCAAAAATGTGACCAACTGTTGTGTGTCTTTATCCCATGTCTATCATATGTATCATGTGCAATATGTATCATGTATGACAAATGCGTGCTTCTGAAATTTGCACCAAAAATGTGATCAACTGTTGTGTGTTTTTGTCTTAGGTCTATCAGATGTATCATGTGCAATATGTACCATATATAACAAAGGCATGTGTACGAAATTTGCCCCAACAATGTGACCAACTGTTGTGTGTCTTAGTCTCATGTCCAGGAAATCAATGGCAATATGTATCATCTATATCAAATGCATGAGTCTGAAATTTGTCCCAAAAATGTGACCAACTGTTGTGTGTCTTTGTCTCATGTCTATCACATGTATCATGTGCAATATGTACCATATATAACAAATGCATGTGTCTGAAATTTGATCCAGAAATGTGACAATATGTTGACTAACCTGCTTGTGAGTGTGAGTTGTCCTATCAGTGTGAGAACCCCGTTTTGAAACACGAGCCGCCCTCAACCTCATCCTCCCTCTCTGGTCCCCCCCAGCCCCTAGAGGCCGCGGGCCCCGCCTCTCACGGCGCCCCCCTTCGGGTCCCTCCAGTGCGCCCCATCGGGAACTCAAGCGAGAGCACTGTTTTGAAACAGGAGCCCCCCTCAACCTAATCCTCCGTGCCCTCTCTGGTCCCCCCCAGCCCCTAGAGGCCTCGGGCCCCGCCTCTCACGGCGCCTCTCCTCGGGTCCCTCCAGAGCGCCCCATCGGGAACTCAAGCGAGAACCCCGTTTTGAAACAGGCCTCCCTCAACCTTATCCCCCTGGCCCACCCCAGCCCCCAGAGGCCTCGGGCCCCGCCTCTCACGGCGCCTCCCCTTGGGTCCCTCCAGAGTGCCTCATCGGGAACTCTTGTTTTGAAACAGGAGCCGCCATCAACCTCACCTGCTTGTGAGATTGAGTTGTCTGATCAGTTTGACACATGTATGTGCTTCGTTTCCGTTCGTATGGACTTTGGCATTTTCCCACAGCATTATGTGTGTGCCTTAGCCATTGGGCTCCAGTCGTATATTGCTTTTCGTATCTCTTTCCATATTTGCACGCGCGTCCGTATTGTTGGCAATGGCAGGGCAGTGGGACGAACAGACTGGGGAGTATATCCCATCCAACGAGGAGGTGGCCGAGGGTATGAGGCGCTGGTCTGTGTCACCCGGCGGGGACGGATTGGTATTCCAATGGCTCAAGGCTCAGGAGAGACAACAGTACCACATAGCTAGGGGGGTGGCCGCTCACTCTTCGAGCTGGTGGTTCCTTCCGGGCATGCCTCCAGAGAGTGCCTGGAACGAGGTGCCACCAGCTCGAGGGGAAGGCGCGGCCACCCCCTTAGCTGGTGGTATTGGTACTTTTTTCTCTCCTGAAAGGTGCTGCGCGAGACCGCGTGGTTCGCGACCGCAGTGTATTTTCCGTGTATGTGGCAGGGACTCACGGGTGTATGCCTGTGTGTGTCGACCGCGGAGAGCACGCGCCGTTCAAAGGAGAACGGTATGGTCGAGAACCAGCGGCGTATGGGAGGCATCGAGACCCCAGAGTGGATGGCGTTCGCTGTATACTT